CGAAATCAGTTGGAGGACTCAAATCTAAGCCTTACGAAGAACACCTCCGTTCACTAGACCTTTACCCACTAGAATATAGGCGTCTTATAGGTGATTTATTAATGGCTTATAGTATTCTTAACACTTCTGGACATCCTCTTAAACACCTACTTAAGCTTAGTTCGAATAATAACCTAAGGGGTAACACCCAGAAACTGGAAACACAACATAGCAAGACGGAATGTAGACACAACTTCTACTCCTTAAGAGTTGTCAAAAGCTGGAACTCGCTGCCGGCCGAGCTAGTCCAAGCGACTTCTCAGGAGTCCTTCAAGAGGCAACTTGACCTATTCTTAAGGACCAAGGACAGCATCACATTATGATTTACCAATTTATTTTCCTCTTTTACTGTTAACATACCTAGGTTCCTGCCTGGAGGATTTGGCGATCCCCTGCTACTAGACACGGAAGCCTGTTAAGCGAACTCTTCTTCTATTCCGTCCACAACCATTTGAACCATTTGAACCTTAACTAAATAAATCAAGTAAAAGTCGACCAAGTATGCTTCGATGCAATAAATACACAAAAGCGAAATCGAAACACTCAATAGAATATCACTTTAACTGTAGTAGATGTAGTTAAAGTGTAAACAGTAGTTTTGATGCGTAATTTACGATCAAAACAGTTAATTAACTCAACGAGAAACAATACCACTGATTTTTTTAGATAGCGCGCTTGAATTACCGGAATTCTCTACCGGAACACGTAGTATCAGTATCTCCTGCCAATGTATTCGAAACGAGATTGGAACTCTACAGTGTAACAAACTGCAAAGATTAATATAGGTCTATAGACCTCCTATCTTTATTACTGAAGACTGGATCTAACGCGGTCTGCTTCACAGGAACGTTACACTACCATATGGCCAAAAGACGGGCCGATATTGAGTTGAATCAAGATAACTGGGATGATGATTTAAGAGCTACTACTAAGGGAAACTTCGATAAAGCAGACAAGGACATTATTTCACAAAGAAAAATTTTGACAGCACGTACTAACAGAACATCTGTAAGCCTTCCATTATGTAATTATCTACTTCTCATAAGAGTGGAACGTCTGGACTATTTAAATCATTTACCGCTTTTTCTGACTGCTCAAGTGGAAACCCAGTATCATTCGATTTTGGACTCAAACATTCAAGTGTTAAAGAAAATGGCCATAAGGATGAAGAGACTGAGTATCTTGAACACCTACAAACTCTCAATCAGAGCTTACTCGATTGGATTACAAAACACATTAAAGAAGACCCATTTTGTATTCTCAGCCCGATATTCTCCGATTACGACAAACATTTATCGGGAATCAACTCTAAATTTCCCAAACAATCATTAGTAGGTGCGGTTTCACTGCCGGAGAAAAAAGAAGCCAGCAGTCACTTAATTGCCAAAACATCTGAAGTTATTGAGACTCCGGTCAAGAGTGCACCAAATCCCGTTTTCTTTTTCGGCAATTCCATACCAAAACCCACACCTATATCTTCTGGCTCTTCGACTGATTCTACAGATAAGAAACCTATATTTTCATTTGGGTTGCCGCCTATCACGACAACAAGTACTAATTTCACTCAGTCGCTCTTTCAGTTTCCCAGCGTCTCTAGTTTCTCACAAAAACCTGTGAATCTCGATCCTAAACAGAACACTAGTAATCAACAAGGGGATGATGACGGTATGCTACCTTTTCAAACTAAATCCTCTTTTAGACGAGGAATATATTCCTCCCAAACCAGAGGTTAAAGATTTCAAAGAAGATGGGTCAGTTTTCACGACAAGGTTCGTTTCTCTTTAACATTCAATTGAGTGTCTGTACGATTTATGTGTATTTATTTATTATTTGAACACAAATGTTGGTACAAAGGGGCACTGAAATACGTATGCACCATACAAGTCACTTGGTTTGTGTGTGGACTGTGTTACTGCTCCGGGTGCCCAAATTGAAGCAAATGGATTTTTTAGGGGGTCACACCCGAAGTCTTCGACTTAAAGGTCTGATCCACAAGGCAGTGGAGCAACGTCAGGAGATGGAATCCCATGGTAGCTGGTGACCAACGATTGATTCATACGCCATTTGTTCTCCCAGGGTCCTGGAGCTCATGTGCATCATTGGTTTATGATCGGGGCTCTCTAACTCCATCTGCGTCCACCGACCCTGTTAAAGCGCCGGACATTCGCTTTTTGTCTTGTCAATTTCGTAAATAACACCCCCACCACGAGGCGGTGAGTAGGACTCTAGAATAAAGCATGAAGTTATCTTGAGTAGGTAGGGATGGCCTATTATCACAGTCTGTATTATTATTGAGATTCAGTCTAAACCTAAAAATATACAAAGATGCTAGTGACATCTACTAAATGATCCTGCTTTCTCAGAATTTGATGGGAGTTTCGAGTATCCAAAATAACTGGTCCATGTATTAATGTCCTTACTATATCCTACCTGTTAATCGGTCTTCGTAAAATCAAACTGCTGAAACATGACATAGGAACTGTTCCAATTATTTGTTGTTAATACGAAATTCTTTTAAAATAGTAGAAAAAGGTCAAATTTATATATTTAATCCTTGTAGTGACTAAAGGGCTTACGCCCCAAGTTTTTTCCATCGTGTCTTATTCGGACTCATGTAGTTGCTTCATTCCTAACATAATCAGATTTGTGCAGTAAGGACAGAAGACCGATGGCCTATGCTATTCGTTTTCTAGTATGCTTCTGTGTTAATTAAAGGTGAAGACACCACTGCTTCGGGTAATAGGTTCCAAGAATTAATGACTCGGTACGAAAACATGTTTGCCATGAGTACTTTGTTCGTTCTTGGCTTTTCTACTCGCTTGCTATATCCTCTGAGTTAATAGGAAGAAAAAGAAAACACATCGGGTCCAAAACCGTTTCTTAGTATTTTATACATCAAAGTCACATATGGATAATAATTGTGTTAATGTCATTTTGACCATGATTCTATGAATTATAGTCTATTAGTAACCATTATATTCGTATATTCTCCTTACATATTCATAGGTGTAAATTATTCTACAAAGCGGATAATGAGTGGAAAGAGCGTGGACTTGGAAATTTATTCATCAAACCAACGACAAACGATAAATTTCAATTACTCATCCGAGCTGATACTAATCTCGGTAAGGTGCATAGAGATTTAAAATAATGCAGATGCATTACTGTATTTCACCCCAGGATTGATAGTAGACTTTCCAATTAAAATTTATGCAATACTTCAGGTTCAATTCAATCAGTAATCTAGATTCGAAGAGTGCTCCTATTAAGACTTTAGTATCGTTAATACCAAGTACTTTTACGTTTTATCATACGTTCTTGCACCATGCTAATAATTTCGTTACTTCGACTTCATTATCGTAAACAAAACTACTCATATGCTCTTCTTTTTCCCTGTCCCATTAATTAGAGTGAAATACCAGTTTTTTAGATGAAGCTATTTGATATTGACCCAATGTAATCAGTCAAAATATATGAAATTTGTCGGTTATGTATCAATCAAAAGCGATTAGAATAATTAAACTGAGTATCTTTCGTTCACCCGAAATATGGTAAGAATGTATTAAAATCCCATGAACGATGTTCGCAAAGAAAAATTTACTACAATATAATTCCAACCTAATTGATTTGATTCTCATAAGTTTTAATTTGAGATCGGATATTTCCAACTATTAATTAGTTTTTTTACCCCCAAAATTTAATTTTCTAGGCAATATATTGCTAAATATACTGGTTACAAAAGATGTGCCTATTAAACAACAGAAAAACAACTTGACTTTAGTTTGTATCCCTTCACCACCTTTACCATCGCAGGCTAAATCGTCCCTTACCAACGAAGAAGATAATGGGCAACCAAAACCAGTTCCAATGTTGATACGTGTGAAAACTGAAGAGGGAGCTACAGAGTTACTAAGTCAAATGGATTTGCACAGGGGTGTCTCAACGAAGTCATAATATTGAGATGAGTTTTTCCCATCGTTTCTGTCTACCTCTTATTGACTGAAAATTATGTTTCGTGTTTTGAAGATTACATTCAATTTTTTTTTCGAAAAAAGATCGTTTTGAAAGTAACTTTTGTTTTTATGTGAACTACATTGTAAAAAAATTGTTGTGGACTTTTTTGATGAAATAAGGGTTCTGAATGTTACTAGTTTTCTCTTATCCCAATACTTTTACCATACGTTACGTCCACCCGACAGCTACTCGGAAAGGTTATCTAAGTTCGGAAAATTTGTGTATAATGGGTATGTGGTAGGAAAACTTGAATTACCATAATTAACAGTAAATAACTGGAATGGTGAACGTTCTTGATCCTGTGGATACGCGTAAGTGATTAGGTGCCAAACTTAATCGGGTTAGGAAACATCATCTTTGTTACACCGAACACACATTTCGTACGAATAACATTTAATTTCCCGTCCAAAACAATAGAATTAGCCCTTGGCATTGTACATGCTGAAGTGGTACTCGTCCTATCTATTACTATTCATTTAGACACAAATACTAGTAAAACGGGCACCAATAATATATATTCACCAAGCAATAATGATGAGGTTGTGAAGAGGTAGTGAAAGGAAGATATGGTAGAAAAAATGGATAGAAATTAGTGTGTAAGGAAATAATAATAATGAAAGAAGCAATCCAGTTAAGAAAAGTACAAACAGAAACGATTCTTTCAATTGAATTCCCCCTCATTCATATGAAGAAAACTGAAGTTACACCAGGACCGCCACCGTCTTAAATTCTGAACCACTGTGTTGCACTACCTCTAGCACCAGGGAGTTGTAAGGGACCAACAGATGCCAGTCTTATACATCTTTCCTTCATATCACGACAGTATGTCATGCACTGGTCATCTTTTCGCTTTTTCCAACCAGTCCCGGCGTTGGCAAATAATGCACGACGTGGAATCCGCTGGATCGATATTCGAAGTATATATACAAGCCACTGAGGTCAGTTTTTTAAAAAGATAAATTGTAGTCACTCCAAAAGTTGGAGTTTCTGGCATACTTCCACTTCGTTAGGTTAATCAGACTACACTGACCGGGGAGGACAGAACGGTCTGATCGATGTCGCCGAAGTAGCAGATCATTTGGACTGCTCTCCGAAGAACAATGCCCATCGTCCAAGATTGGCTTCCCATCAACTTCACTCACACCAGAATTCTCGCTGCCAGTGGCTCGAATGAGGTGAGAGAAATGTGGCTGCTGCTTCCAACTCACTGGCACACCCCGACCACCAGGATTTTCGGTCATTACGCAAGATTTGCACAATTTCATAGCGTAAAATCTTCGTCTATGGTCAAACTCGCCAATTCGCTTACATCAGTCCGTTTAGGATAACGACTTAGTTGGCCACTAAGACAAAAAATAAGATTAGCGCACACAAGGGCATGATGAGATCTCCTGGAAGAAGATCAATTCCTAGAAATGCAGTCGACGAGCAAGCTATTCCTAGCAGTAGGTCTATGATGAAATTAAACAGAAATGAAGATAGTAGACGATCATCTCCAATTGTTTTCGGTGGGTAATTGCCTCACAGCTGACACGGTTGAACTCCGATGGTCACGACTACTTACTAGAACTCCGAGGATTCCCTTTGAAAGCTAGTCACTAGTGAGAACATAATAATTTTCACTTTGGGGTTGTCTGACATTGATCGGTTTTTAACGATTTTAACGACATCCAACAATGTACACAACCACAAACTGAAAATATTAGCAGTAAAGTTGTATAAAATTAACTAATTTTTGTTTTTCCATTTCAAATTTCCGATATACTACTTGGGTTGTATCTTCTGATTATTGACACTGTGGTATTTATGATCTTGATCAAACATTCAACATCGAACAAGAAGTGGTCAATTTCTAAATGATAACGGACAGTTTTGTGTAATGGGTAAAGAATAACACATAATTGCGAAGATATCACTTCATATATAGAAATGTCAAAAATTTCACATATTATTCACAAAATAATTACACTGAATAATACAGATCAAAGATTCTCTACAAGTAAGATCGGATATGAGAGATAAATCTACTTAACACATTAGATACTTTTTATTCAATTGCTTCTCTTCTGAATTTCTATTTTGTACCTTTATGACTTTCGTCCGGAGAAATTTGTAAATCAGAATAAACAGGAAATGAAGATTTACTATGAATGTTAGACGATTCCACTTTATCAGTATGTAACAATCCTTGTTTAATCATTTCTTGACGTTCTTCATTATATTTTACCTGACAAAAACAAACAAACACATGATGTAGATTGTCATTATTATTATTCATTTAAACAATTTCTACTATATTTTTCTTCGTTATGTTGGATAAATTATTAGCGAAGTTTTTACTGTGTATCTTGATAACATAATCAATCAATCTAAGAATCATTATTGCCAGCGAAGTGAATACCTTTGAACATCAGCCACAGGATTACATAGATATAAGTAACATTCGATGGAGTTTTAGTGGAGTGTTATATGTTTCCATAAACCTTTGACCGTATCAAATATTAAAAAAAAGAAATAATTATTGGTTGATATATACGCTTACCCAAGTACTTTTGTTAAGCATACTTATAGTTGTTGGTTCTTCAGCTCAGGAACTAATGGGACAGCAAGATGTAGTGCTTACTAAAATATCGCAAGCTGGTTTTCGGTTACAAAAAAGAAAATGTCAATTCTAAGTTTCATTTGGCTATTTACTCTCTGAAGAAGTGACTTACACTAAGTCACGAAACGTCAGAAAATCTGATTTTTTTACTCATTGGGATATTAGAAATATATTACTTTTATTTATTACATTACTTGTTTATGATTTCCAAATTTTCTATAAATCAATAGAAAATCTTGGACAAACTGATGTTTTATCTCGACTAATTGTCAATCAGCAGCAAGAAAGTGAAGATACTATTATTTCAACGAGAAGAGGATATTCACCAAATAATACAAGTTGTTATAAGAGCAACACTACTATCCGCCGAAGATATTAAATGCTGTACTCAAGAAGACAACGAGCTGAAACGGACAATTAGTTACCTCGAATATGGGTGGCCTACTAATATGGATAGCAAAAACACTGAATTTATCAGGCTAAATCTCACAATAGTAGAGGTAGTAACAGTATCAGGTGTAATAGAAAAAACTAAGCGTCAAAGATACGATCCAAAAAGAAAATATAAACTGGAGAAATAAAAACTGTTGTATCCTTATTGTATAAGTGTTTAGTAATTAGATCATATGTATTTATATTTCTTTTATCATAAGCTTTGAATTGACCTATTAGCTATTATTACACGGTTTACTACTCTTGAGTTATTCCCAATCTATTAGTTACAGACTCTCACAGCCACTTTTGGCTTGATCTTGTATAATTTTTATTTTATGGTGTGATGTGGTCTGGTTTGTTTGCATATAAACTACGTATATCTGAAACGTACTATTCATACAGTGGAGGCTGAGATTGCTTTCTGGACTCAATGGGCAGGGATAAACGAGAAGGACCAATAAAGATTCAGAGTTAACATATGGCTGCTACTACTGTTTTGACATGTCGTTGGTTTAGCATAAGAACATGGTTATAAAAGTCAGTATTCGTATTGGCGACTTTGTCACATGATGATTAACAAGGAGAAAGTCATAAAAAACTTATGAGGAATCTAGAATCTTAGGATTTTGGAGTGGACACAGAAAAGATGCACCTGTGCCATTCCAAACGATTTTGAGCCATGTCATTCAAAGTTTAACCATTGGCTACGATAATCACGCGAACCACAACCAGGTAATCTATACTTGTTAACATGACTAAGTCTAATTGTCAGTAACTTCATGTACTGATGCCATGTTTTGGCTTGGTCGCCCCTAGCTTTCTAGCTAGCGACTGCTGTACCAGAAAACATCACCCGTCGAGGTAGACGACGGTGACCTACAAATATCCTCTACTTTTAATGGCTACGTTTCACATCCACAAGCTATAACGGAGCAAACTGCTGTGCAGTAAACCCGCCCTTTGGTTGGAAGACGGATATTTCACCTACACCTGAATCTGTGCCGAGATTTCGTCAGACATCAGTACTGATGAGACTTCCAGGAAAAGTGGGGCGGTCGATAGGTTCAATTACTTCACTACCTATCAATTATTCGGGTGGTGATGCAAGCCGATCCTGAAGTTACATTTTACATTTGCAGGGCGAACAGGATCACTAACATCCTGGAATTGTTGCTTAAGGTGGTCAGAAGATTGCATTTTTTCAGTGTCTTCTGCGAACAGAACTATATCATCTCCGTATTCTAATCCAACAAGCGAAATTCCTGGTAAAAGATCAACTCCTGAAAAGTCAGACGATGAAAGTGTTCTCTCTAAAAGCATGTCTATGTCAAAGTTAAATTAAAATTGGGAAAGCGGACAACCCAGACGAACACCATTTGAAGTAATTAGTTCCGATGACAGTACAAGATTGATGTACTTCTTTGGTACGCCTTTCAATGACAGACACTACCATAGAACCTCACGATCAGCAGAGTCGAACGCTGCCTTACGGTCAAGGAATAAAACTATAGTAGGACGTCAGAAAGTATGTTTGTGTTAGATAATCTCCTGAGGGGTAGATATTTGGTCTATACATCCACGTCCAGGTCTGATGCAAATATTAGTCCGACGGGAACACCTTACTACTGTCACGCCCCCTCTACAGTCAGTAGTGTGACATCGCTGTCTTACCATTTTCTAACTGACCTGTCTGGCATGGCAGGTCTCAAATAAGGATGAGTTTCAGTCAATATAGCTCGGTTGAGTCATCACGAGAGGCGAGCCCAACCACCACGTCAAGGTATCAGCTACGGTTGGGATTTGTTGAAAGGCATCCACGAGCTGGGATATCACTGATTTCCTTTCCTAAAGTTGGACTGATGTTGGGATGGATGTCGTTGGAAGTTTCAAGTAGGTTATTTGCATACTGATTTAGGGGATTACGTAAGATGGAGTTATCATATGCATCATACATAAAGTGGCCACAGATGCTAACGTTTTCATTTCAAGTACGCAACACATATACCCGAAATAACAGATTCCGATTAGTCATATCAATTTCACTTTGAAAATAGAATTAAAGGTTCTTAATTTCTGACCTTATAAGCTGTTTTAATTTGATATGAAGATGTAGTCTGTGTAGTAACTATTGATTTCGACTGCAATTTTAAGCTCGTAGAATACATTTAACTGACTTACTTTTTAATGCGAATTCAGAAGCATCAGATACCTTTTGCTAGGTGGTGCCAACTTTGCTAAACGAGTACGTATATCCCTAAGGAATTAATCGCAAAATCCTGATTTCAAGTGGAACGTCGATTGCCTGTATAGAGTTGAACGTGCTATGCTAGAAGAGATTATGAGTTCACCTAATCTTCGAACGGAACGAAGACTAAGTGACACAATGACCAGATAAGCTAACTATTCCGATGCGTCCCAGCCCAGTAAGAGAAGTCCAGGTTTAGAAGAGGGAAATGTATTCCACGAGCAGCTAGAAGCACGAACAACAATCACAATCCAAGCGCACACATACAGAATAAAATGTCCTTGGGAAACGCTACAAAGTAGCACATTATGAGGGACAACGAACCAACAGCATTTAAGGTCCTCTCAAGTGGGAAATACGACGTGAATGTGAAAATGGGGGCTTTTGGCACGAAAACAAGAAATTCAAATTTCCAAAATAAAATTGCAAAAATAAGACATTTGCCGAGTGAATTCTGGAGATCAAACATCCTCAACAGAAAGTTGTGAGTCATACCACACCCCACTAATAACCATTCTTTTCAACAGCCCTGCTATAGATGAAGTACTGAAAAATTTGAGCCACCTAACTGACCAAATATTTGCAACAAAATTTCCTGCTGCATATTTATTTGGACAAATTAGTTATGAAAGTCAACAATATTATGTTTTTTAAGTCAGTACAATCTTTATACTGCCAACAGTAACTTAATGAACTAATTCTACGTCTTAATTTGAAAGACACCAGGTTTCTTCGAACCTACTCCAATACCCACGAGTATTTAGCACGGATTTTGTTAAGGTTCATCATATGTGTGTATCTACATCCTAGATAAGATTTATTCGGAATTTTAGATGCAAATACTTATGGGATGTAGCCCAACAGTATCATTTTTGAAGAGGTTGGATTATGATTTACTCCGTGTCCGTTATATCGTCCAGTCAAATAGACAGCCAAACAGGAATAATAGTGATTTTCTAATCCTAAATGTAAGAAACTTTATGAAAAAGGAAATTACTGTGAGATTATTTGTAGCCGAAAACAAAAACAGCATGTAATATACCTCCAATTCTGC